CGTACGCCTAGCAGTGCTGGTACGAAGATCCAGGTTAAATCTTATTCATTCAACGGCGGGGGGCCTGTAAGTGGCATTTCACGCCGCTGCAGCTGCGAGGCAGTCTAGTTCGATTTAGAAAGCAAGGCTGTTCGCGCAAGGGCGGGACCGCACTAGCCACGGACATGCAAAATCACTCCGGTGCGGCATATTCTAGTGCCCAGGGGTATTGAAAGGCCGGCAGGGTGGTGAACCAAAAGCCGAAACAGTAAACCCATTTTTCGGGGTCAAAAAGGACAGGGGGTGAACAGTGGCAGGAAGTGGCTGCCCAGCTCTCATCAACAACCCGCGCACACCCCCCGTCCGACAGTGTGCCAGCCGAACCTTCTGCGAGGCGTTGGGGTTTTGCGGTGGCTGGCAGGGGTGTGGATTGTTGGATCACTGCGCTACGCGTTCTCCGCACGTGCACTGGAGACCCACTGGCCCCTACGGGGCCTGCGCCTGACCAAGCTCTCTGGCGCAGTCAAAAGGGCAACCTCTCGATTGTCCCCTACAGGGGAAACCTACACACTGATAGAACATGATAGATGAATATGAACTCTTTTTCCCAGTACTATTTGTTTGCTTTTTAGATCTCGAGATCGAGGCCTACCCACAGGATATCACAAATAGGCGGTAAAAAATGCATTTGTTGTGGTGGCGTGGCGCCTGGGGAGTCGCTGAGCCACGGTGGCTGAGGCTTAATGCTTGGGGCCCGTGCCTGGGTGGCTCGTGCGTGGCTCGTGCGTGGCCGCTTGCATGAAAACCCTGCACGAGGGTCCCGGTGCAACGCACCAATCCCCTCCTTCTACTCGTCACTTCTAGATAGTCAAATCAACCTTCGCTACACTGCAGCCCTGCCTCTTTTGTGAGGGTGATCCCTAACATTTGTAACTGCAGGCCGCCAAAATAACCCTTGCGAATCGACCCTAGGATTCGCACCCCATATTGTAATTAAACTAAAGCCCGAACCGCACTAAGGCTGCGGATGTTACCTACCGTGGCGTGCCCTCATGTGCCCCGCAGCCTGTCTTTTGGCACGCAGGGCGTATGGGATTCCTTTGACAATTACCTACGGGGGTGTGATGGGTAAAAATCACCCTGGGGCAAGTTACTGGTTGGTGCAGGGGTGGCCAGATCCAATCGAAATGTACAGATTGTTAATGTACCTTTTCTCTGGAAATCGGTGAGGTCGTAATCTGTTTGGCGCGGACGTTCCCTGCCTTGGCGGTACCTCGAGGTGAGTGATTTCAATCGCCCCAGGCGCCCACTCGAGGCCAGGCAGGATTGTGCCACGGCGGGCGACCCACGGCTCCCAAACCGCATCAGCTGGCCACTCGGAAACCGACAGCCAGAGCCAGAGCTCCAGCCGCACACATATCTCAAGCTAGGCATCCACGCGCAAAAAACGGAGGTAGCTCGAGGTTGGCCACGAGCCGGTCAAAGTTTTCATCTTTGCCAGCGCCTCCAGCCAGGACCAGGATGACTTCACACTACCTTTGCCGCTGCAGGAGCTTTTGAGGGACTTTGGGGAGTCCATGACGGTGCCATCCCTTTCGTCTCGCAATCCCGCAAACCAGAGCCCGTCAACCTCGGCTTTAGGGACAGCGCCTACTTCGAGATATCGAGTGCGTCTCGGCTAACTGGGGTTAAGCCTCGTCCCCTTATCATTTTCAAGGGAGAACACCAGCGGGATCAGCGATTTCCGGAAATAAATGGCCAATTCTACCACTGGGAGTTCACCGTGACAGAAAACGGGTGGATTATGTGAAATCTGTCAAGTGCCCGACCATCACCGCCCAATCGGCATAACGCCAAATAGACCCCTATGTATTCCCTGCAACCGAAAGCAGTTGCCACCGGTACTTGGCGACTACCCCCCTACTTGGCGACCACCCCCCTACCTGGCGACCACCCCCTACCTGGCGACCACCCCTCTCCCCGGTCTTAATTGTTGGCACCACGATTAAATTGGCGCGATCGCCATTTTCGCCTCCACAGCCTTAGTGCGGGTTGGGCCTAGCGCCCAATAGGCGATCCCAGAGCCAGGTCGCCAGGTTATTTCAGCTGCCTGCAATGATAAATGCATTTTTCATCACCCCTTCGTGATATCCAAACCCCCTGCCACCCACCGCAAAACTCGTGGCAGCTAAATGCATTACTAGTTCGGCTTTTGGTTCACTCCCTGCCAGCCTTTTGACGCCCTGGGGTGTGACTCGCTCTAGGCGGCGGGTGAGGCCCCGTGTGACGGTCCCGCCATACGTCCGGTGGCGCCGCCACATATGTGGGGCATATGTGGGGCAGACACAGGCATGCAAGCCACACGGATCGCGACAACTTCAGGCGCAGGTCACACGGGCGCGACCAGCGCCTTTTCCTTCCCCTCTCCTTAGTGTAGAATCTTCGTTCATAGCGCCAATGCAAGGCCTTCGCGCCTCCATTAGTTTGGCCGTAATAGCGGCCACCTGCACGGTCTGGTGTGTTTGTCCGTCCGGCTCCAGTATGGAGCCCGGATCTAGAGCGTGAATTCTTTCGGACAAAAGTTCTCCTGACCTTGGATGCCAATTCCTGTGCGATCACGAGGTGCCCTTCCAGCAAAAATCGAAGGCAAACATGTAACGTGCTGTGCACAGGAAAGGGTTCTCGCTGGGAGATCTCAGAGGTTCAGGCCACTCAGCAGTTTAAAGGAAATGTGCAGGGCAATGTGGTGTTCGGCAGAAGGTGCCTGACAGCATTGAATAGGGGAACAAAAACAAAAACGGTTGCTTGCCCTCCAGACCCCTTGACAGGGAGTCTTGCGGGCTCTAGTTATACATGGTGTGGTGGCGGCCTCCGGCCGTCGTGCTGTAATCCTTCTCTTAAGACTTTTGTCATGACTGGGGGGCGGTTCGCGCGTCGAGTGCCACGCTGTAAACCTTCCCCTGGAGCTTCGTCATGACTGGAAGGCGGCTTGTGCATCGATCCGTCATGCTAGTCATGGGCTGAAATGCCCAACGTCACGGGGGTGTTACAAAACACAAGACCGAGAAAAAGGAAGGGGGGAGGAAGGAGAGGATGAAGGAAAAAAAGAAAATAGGAAAAAGAGGAAAAATGGGATGGGGATTCGGAAAAAGAAAGTGTCAGACTTTCTCAGCACCAAGAAGATTGTTCTGTATTCTCGCTCTTCTCATGCTCGTAAGGTTAGGTTAGGTTAGGTATATTTAACGTTTGTAGCGAGTGCTGCCTCACTCTAGCCTCCCTAGGGGCATCAGACGTGCTAGCGGCCGAATCATAAACGGTAACGTGCGTGGGTGGGCCACTGCTGCTCCCCTTCTCCTTCTCGGCAGACCAATTTCGCAAGGTGCACGTGCAGCCAAACATAATTGTATCGACGTCCTCGCTAAGCACGGCGTCAACGATGCCGCATCGCTGCAGCAGGGCGCACTCGGCCTCGGCCTCGGCTGGCGCATCATGGGTGTAGAACCCGAATAAATGAATGAGGCGCTTGGCTATAGCTGTGGACACAGCACCACCCCGGCTACCACCTGTGCGGCGGCCGCGCTTTATGGTGGGCTTGTTGGGGCCGTCAAATACAAAGATAGGCTGGATGGAATGGCTTTGCAGGCGGACGAGGCGGTAGAAGAGCGTTCGGGTAGCCGGGTTGGAGCCACCCTTAGCCGCCTGCGCCTGGAACTGCCATATTGATATGTCGGTAGCTAATCGCAGCGGGCGGCCTGTTCGTTCAAATGTCTCGACAGCGAGTTTAGATAAAGAGATACTGTCCCCAGGCCCGATTTCTTTGTACATGCTTCAAACATAGGACGTGACATTAGTCTCTGGAATAATGTCATAAAGACTGGGTTGGTTATATATATACCCGGGAATACCCATTTTAATCAAACTGTTGGAAGGACTGTGGAGTCCTTGGTGAGGAGATCTCCGATGAAGGGGGAGACAATGACCTGAAAGGGGTCTATTCAAGGTCTGTCTGTTGTCTGTATCTCTAGAAAACGAATGGGAAGGAGGGAGCCTCTAGCTCCCTTTATATACAGGTGAGCTCGGGGTTTGTTGGTCCCCGAGACTCGCCGATCTTAGTGGGCCTTGAGCCTGTGCGTGCGCGGTGCTGGGATTCCAACACAAACATGTAAAAGGTTTTCTAGCTGTTGATGCAACTAGTAGTAGTAGTAGTAGTGTCTGTTGACTCCGGGCAGAAAACTGCAACTGCACGAGGAGTATCACGGCGTGGAGAGCTATAGTTGGTTAAATGCAAGCTGTCTGTCAGGCCTTGATCTCCTCCACGTGGTATTGTATCCTCAGTACCTCCAGGTAGTTCCTGAAGGAGGAGTCGTCCTACAGACCCGATGTTACCTGTATTTTTCCAAACTACAGTCGCCAGGTCTTTGGAGGAAAACCTAACCAATGTCACCGTGGTTAGACAAAGAGAGACCCCTCCCATCTCTGCTAAAAAGCCAGGACAATCAGAACTGCTGTTCTGATTGCGATAGGGGTCTCATACACCCAACGCACACGAGAGGCAAGCTGCAAGTGCACGGAGGGCATGCCGCGCCGTAACAACGCACCACCTAAAGTTAAGGCTGCCAGCGCATGGCGAAGGGCACGCCGCACAATAACAGGTGTTACATTGGAATTCTGCCGGCAGAACTATGCTGTGTAATTCAATGTGTGCCGGCGGAATTTTCTGCAACTGAACGTGTGTAGAAGATTCTGCCGGCAGAATTTTGTGCTGTGTAATTGATCGTGTTTGGAGAATTCTGCCGGCAGAATTTTGTGCAGTGTAATTTGTTACGGCCATGGTCGAAGACTGGAACAGTTGATTGGCGCTACGGAGAAGGGCGCGGCTTCACGACGGTCTACTGTGTGGGTCCTGGTCCGTAGGTCTTGGCCTATGGCTCTTGACCCAGATTGTCACAACATGCAACAAAGCAAAAAGTGGCTGTTCAGCTACATTATTGCACACCCTAGGAGCTTAAGGGGTGTAGTGTAACTTCGCCCAGCCCTCCTGTATTTGCACGCCCCTCCACGACCGGGTTGCTTTGCCAGCAATATTTCGAGCTTACAAAAAGCATGGACTGGCTTTTCAACTCGGCTAGGGGTGCAAGAATTGGCTTTGGTTCCACTTTTGACGCGACCTCAGTGCCGACCATTCTAGTGCAGCTTCCCTAGCCCCCCCCATGGACTAGGCCCAAGACCATGCGGGAACCTAAACCCGGATTTTTCGGGTCCTGTTAGAGATTACGTAGGGCAAAGAGGCAAAGCTGCAGTTAGCGCCAGGTTGATATGACTATCTAAAGGTGAAGAGTACAAAGGAGGGATTGGGTGCGTTGCACCCATTCCCTCGTGCAGCGTTTTCTCCAACCGTTGGTCCAGTGCACGGGCCCCCCTGTCCGATCGGTGGCTCAGCGACTCCCCAGGCGCCACGCCACAACAAGTGGGTGGAATCTGATAGTACAGTACACGATAGAACACAAAAAAACGGTTGCTTGCCCTCCAGACCCCTTTACAGGGAGTCTTGCGGGCCCTAGATATACATGATGCTGTAGTGGCCTCCGGCCATTACGCCGTGGACCTTCCCGAACGCTTAGACACGGTGTCATGGCGATTGAAGGGGGGACCGGTAGATTAGATAGCGGAGACCCATTCCATGCACGGGGCGCATAGCGACCCGATGACTGGAGTGGGGCCTACCCTGTCACGTGCCCAGCATGTGACCAAGCGCCACGAGAATTGGGATATCCCCAATCCTCGTGGGGCCGACCTCCGGCCGATCCCTTTGAAAATCGACATCTCTCTTTTCGACACTATCTTGACCCTCCCCCGCACTTACAGTCACACACGGCCAAGGGGCCGCCCGTGCTCATGTCGTCAGGCTGGTCGTCAGCTCGCGCTTGAGCCGCCAGATTGGGCATGGGCTGAGATGCCCGACATCTCTGGGGTGTTACACTCGTCCATAGCTGTTACGGTTCGGCAGTAGGAGCCTCCGCCCACTTGCTACCAAAAGAACGACTAAGTCAAAGTCAACACTTCGACTCAATTGGAGGCTCAAGTACCCTCTGTGAGGCAAGGCTGCACGAGAGGGCACGCCACGCCATAACAACAACCATTTGCTTAATCGCTTCGTCTCCAAGGCCCGTCCATACCGAACAATCACCTTTCAGTATAGAATTCCGAAATGCCCGACCGGCTTTTGTAATGGTTTTGCCTTGTGCGGAGCTGGTAAGCTTTTTACGCACATCCCGTATCTCCTCGTCGCTTAATTGTTCGAAGTCCCGGTAGGTAGCAGCGGAACTATCGTCAGAGCCACCGCTGACAGGCATGAATGGTAAATATTCCCACCCCAGCTTTAGGACCATCCGAGTCGCTGAGCCACTGTGGCGACCGATCGGACAGGGGGCCCGTGCACTGGACCAACGGTTGGAGAAAACGCTGCACGAGGGAATGGGTGCAACGCACCCATTCCCTCCTTTGTACTCTTCACCTTTAGATAGTCATATCAACCTGGTGCTAACTCCAGCTCTGCCTCCTTGCCCTACGTGATCTCTAAGGGCGTTGCGGAAGGCATTGTATCGATCCGGCGGGAGGTTCCCCGGCGTGATGTTCCCGGCCCCGCCGTGGATGATAAGACGCGGCGCTGTGATCAGGGTTTTTCATTTGTATTCCATGGTTCGTCTCTATCCAAATAAAAAAATGAGAACATCTACAGAGTCGAGTCCGGCTACTTGATCGCGTGTTATAAACTCAAACGGGCCGAGGTCAGGAGATGTTCGGAGCCCAGCCGGCAAGGTTCCCCCAATCTTGTTATCAATCTTCTTATCTCCGCCCCACTTCCCCACGTCAGCTGGTGGGGATGTCTTTCTCTTCACGTGACAACGCGTTTCTCGACATGCAGCCCAATTCGTGGCAGCCCACTTGCCCGTTTGGTCCGGTAGTGACTTCCGCATTTGGAACTGCAAGCACCATAAGCGATTACGGATTTAGCGATGACCCGTTCGACGGGGACGAGGAAGGCGCAGCCCTGTGCGTAGCCTCCATCCAGGCACAGGCTATCGACACCTCGCCTTAAGTTCCACTGAAGCATCCAAATCGAGAACCCTCCAAATCTTTGCCCTCAGCCAGCATCGCAACCACCATGCTTGCCCGATCGCTACTCGCCAGGTCCCGGCGCCTTTCGCGGCCCGTCTTCCGCCAGTGGAATGCCGGCGCCAGGCTGCTATATGCCACGCCCAGCCGCATGCAGACGGTGAAGATCAAGTTCGAGGATGACGATGACGAGTTTGACGGTGTCATTACTGAGGGCTTTTCGACTTTAGAAGACGTCAAAAAGCCGCGGACCGAGCTCGAGGCCGACGACTCCACGCCGTGCCCTCGTAAAACCGAGCTAGCGCAAAAGATCCTCCGCCAAACATTTGGCCGCGATAGCTTTCGCCTGGGGCAAAAAGCAGCCATTTCCAGCATCCTCCACGGCAGGAATGCTATGGTTGTAATGCCCACGGGAGGAGGCAAAAGTTTATGCTATCAGGCAAGTCAGCGTATCGTCATTTATTATCGTTCTACATCTCAAACATTTGTCCCGGTTGCCTCCCATCTCAGCGACCCATTGCTTGCTTGCACGTACCAAGAGCGATCTCTTCCTAGCTTGCTAACACCACATGTCACAGGTCCCAGCAATCGCTTTCGAGGAGCTGGATCTCACCAGTGGCGCCGCTAAACCTGGTGGCCATGGCATCACCATCGTCATCTCTCCCCTCCTCTCTCTGATGAGGGACCAGGTCAACATGCTCAAGCGCAAGGGCATCGCTGTTGAGAGCATGGACTCCGCCAAATCTTCAAAGGAACAGCGGGAAATCAGGGCCAAGATTCGGAACGGGACGCTGCGTCTCCTGTACTGCGCCCCTGAGCGACTGAATAACAAGGGATTCATAAAGACCATCGGGCGTGTCGCCGGCGGGGTCCGGCTTGTCGCCGTCGACGAGGCCCACTGCATCTCCGAATGGGGTCGTCAGTTCAGACCCGACTACCTAAAGGTTGCCCGGTTTGTCCAGGAGGTCAAGGCCGAGCGGGTTATCTGCCTTACGGCCACGGCCACGACCAAGGTCATTGACGAGGTCTGTAAGGCTTTCGACATCGCCAAGACCGATGTCTTTCGTACCCCACTATATCGTCCCAACTTACGACTTCTTGCGAAACCCGTAAAGCACGCAAAGAATAAGTTGGGTGAGCTCCTCTCCTTTTTGGAGAAGCACAAGGGCCCAACGCTGGTCTATGTTACGGCACAGCGGCAGGCGGAAAATCTGGCGAAGGAGCTAGTTGATGCTGGGCGACACGCTCTCCCGTTCCATTCAGGCATGCAAACCGAAGACAAGGAAGCCAACCAAGACAAGTTCATGGCTGACAAAGTCGAAATCATTGTTGCCACGATCGCATTCGGCATGGGAATCGACAAACCCAATATCCGAAATGTGGTGCACTACGGCATCCCTGGCTCAGTCGAAGAGTATAGCCAACAGGTTGGCCGCGCGGGTCGGGACGGAAAGCCCAGTAACTGCATCTTCTACCTCTGCCCCGAGGACTTGGAAGTTCGTTCGGTGCTCGCCTATGGTGGTGCCCCAACGCGGGAAGCAATAGTCTCAGTGCTAGGAAATATCTTCGACGACGAAGTCACGGCTCTTCGTCTGGATGGTATTTTCAAACGCAACCACTACGCCCAGTCAAACAAATATGACATCCGCGTTGACCGTCTGTCCATGATCTATGCGATGCTGGAGCTGCGCTTTGGATTGATTCGCGCCACCACCCCCGTGTGTGAACCTTATTGGTTCTATCCTCTAAGCCAGTATGACGCCACTATCGCGAAAGACAAGTCGCCCGCAGCACAAGCTATTATTCAATTTTCCTTCCAGCCAGTGGGAGGAAGGCTTTACAGCATTGATGTCCAGGCCGCTGCTAGGGCCGCGAACATCAACCCGCAAGGGATAATCAGCAGGCTCAGCGAGTTACACCACAAGGGCATCATCAGCCTAACGGTATCGGGACTGGAAAGCCAGTATCAGCTTACGTCCGAAAAGCTGCCCCAAACACCCGCTGAGATCGACACTTTAGCGGACGGGATCTTTGCCGATCTGAAGCAGCGTGAAGCCGACGCAGTCCAGCGGATCGATCAGGCCATGGGGGTGGTGACAGGAAAGCAGTGTTTTGCCTACGCGCTTGCGTTGCACTTCGACATGAGTCTGCCGGATGACAAAAAGCGCTGCGGCCACTGCAGCTGGTGCGAGACGGGCGTCGCTGTGGTGATGCCCGAGGCGCCGCCCCGGGATCCAGTCGACCGGAACCTAGTCATGGAGATCCTCACCACCGTCCCAGACCGCGACGACCCGCTGCTCCTAGCCAACATTGCGTTTGGAATTACCACCCCGCGCATAACGCGGATGAGGATTAGTAAGAAACCTGTGTTTAGGTCGCTGGTGGGCCACAACTTCTACGTAAGGATCCCCGGCTCGAAAAATCCCTTCCTGTCCTGTTCTTGATCGGCTTTCTGGCTTCATACTAACATGGCGGCCATTTCTAAACTCACCCCCTATAGGAGATTCTCGACTTGTTCACCCAGGTCTGCAGCCAGGAAGGCGGCGATCGCAGTAGCGTCAAGCGGGAACCGACGAATAGTGCCCACTCGGGCTGATAAATTTAACCGTCTAGCGGTCGAGGCTGGGGGCGAGGTCGGGCTCCTGATCCGGCCAGGCCTTTAGTAGTCGGTGCCGGAGGCAGATTTGAAGCTTTCGGCTGCGCTCAGAGGCCAACACTCATGCCACCAACGAGCCAAGCCATGGACATGTTTCTCCGCTAGCCCCAAGACAAATCTCAAGCGCCCATCCTTGAGACAACTCTGTGTAACGACAATCGCCCAAAGCTTGTCTTGAAGGATATAGCTCACAGGGGTGTGTAGCATCAGGCACTATTTGATAGCAAATTGTCGGATTTTTTCAGCACCAAGAAGATTGTTGTGTATTCTCCCCTCTGAATTCTGTCCCCCAGGTTGCCCTTATATCGTTCAATCCGACAGCCTGGAGAACATCTCTCCACAGTTGACCCTAGCGCTAAATTCTGAATCCTTACGCTGAATCCTAGCGCATGGGCCCTGTAGATGCCTAGAAAGAATGCCTTGCGGCTGACAAAAGGACTTCAAAGAGTGGTACGAGGTGAAACGGCTGTATTTACCGACGGCTCGGAACAGTTTGACAAAGAAGGAGTCACTTGTTCGGATACGGGTACGCTGTCTACCGGAACCGCCAGGAGATCGCAAGCGGCTCGGCAGCGCTGGGCGGACCCTGCCACGTCTTTGATGCCGAGACGGTTGGCGCGCTGCGCGGCCTCGAAGCTGCGGCACAAGACCCAGGGGAAAAAGTATGGATGTGCGTGGATAGCACCTCGGTTATCTAGGGTCTTAAAGGAAATGCGTCTTTATCATCACAATGGGCATATATCCGGTTCCACGAGCTTGTCAGCGAACTCGAAAGCAAAAACGTGAAGGTGCACATACAATGGTGCCCTGGACACCAAAACATTGAAGGGAATGAGCGGGCAGACCGCTTGGCAGGCTTAGCTGTCCTCCAACCCAGCCACCTATGCCACCTCCATCTAGTCAAATTCTATGAAGCCCTTGGGCCCACTTGCCAACGCATGTTAGGAAGCCACAATTCACGCCGACTCTGTCCCGGCCGAGGTTGCTTGCTGGTTCCATCTGGTCGATGATGCTGTCTGGTTATGGCGTGAAGATACCAGTGATTGCAATGAGCCCTTTGACAGTACCGGCACAGGGCCAGTGCCCCGCGTTCGATGCCCTTTCGCGATGATAACCCTTACCTCCTCGAAAACTGCACGGGATATCTTTGTGCTGCCTGACAACTCCAAGCCCTGGTCCATTCGCTGTTGCTGGAGGCCGCCCGAGGGCTGAAAATTCTGCCCTCGAAAAACTGCTTCGTGACATTTGCTGCTGTCACTGTCACGTGAGCGGCTGGCCGCCCCGCCCAGCTGAGCTGTTCATGCCCAAACGGACTGTCGAACATCGCGGGAGGACTGGTGGAGGTACGTGTTATTTGTGCTGACGCGACAGTCGGGGACCTGCACTTGGTGGTCGCGTTCCGATTGGGCATTCACGAACAAGCCCTTGGCACCGACAGCGAGCGCCTACATGCACCACAGTTAAAGCCGCAGGGGTTTTGGCGTGAATCTTACCAGCTGGCAGTACATGAATTTGATGGTATGGATGCCAAAGGAAGGTCAAAAGGGTATATGGTTAACAGTTCCGGGGCATGACAAGCCCTGGTGCAGCCCCCTTGTCGTGAATCTCCCGACACCAAACGCATTTCAGCGAGCTCGGCCCACCTAACAGATGGGATCTTCTTAGGACTATTCGACGCCCCGCCGAGCACACACAGAATCCGCCGCCGAGTCCGGCTGAGAGACCCGAGTGGCTCGATGAGATTTCCGTTTTTTTGGACACGGACCTGAAGCCGGCGGGGCCGCTGTGGGAAGGAACCCTGCATTAGATGGGCTAGAATACGTAGCGGGGACTTCTGCGCTCGCTGCACACCATCTTCGTCTCGTAGCCACAGAAGCGCGGGTGGCGACGAGGTCAAGAGAGGCATGTTGACGGTTTTCTGGGCGGGCAGGGAACTTATCCAAAAGGCACACTCGCCAACAGCAAAGACTCAGGGGGCGCTAACTATGCCTTTTCCTACTTTTTTTTCGTATCCGAAAATGTAGCGTTGAGAACCTTTGAAGGCTCTTTTTATTTTGGTGTTGGATGACGCGATTCTGGTGGGCCTGATAGGTATCTCCCCGCACCCCACACGCGATCGCATCCATGCAAAGTGCGCTGGCAGGGCAACGAGGGCCAACGAGACGGCCAAGATTTGGGCTGGGAACAACAAAAAGCTGCAGCTCGTTTTCCACGCCTACCCACGACCACGCCTAAATGACGATATAACGCAGCAATCCCTACCATGGCCGATATCATAGATCCTCCCCGCAGCAGCCAGATTATCTTGTGGCTCCACAAACTACCAGAAAATAACGAGGCATACCAACCCGAAATGCCATTAACGCCCCCTATTTCTCTGTCGCCCAAGAGGAGAAAGCGTTCCGAAAACGATGACGATGACGACGACCAAGAGACGACGCCGATACCGGCGACCAGAGCCGAACCACGGCAATTGGCTCCGATCCCTTTACGCTTTCAACAAGCAGCTTCCGCCTACTCCAGTTCCACGACCTCCCAGTCCCGAACTTCTTCTCGAACCTCGACCAGAAGCCGCGCCACGAGCCCCGTCAAACGTACCGTGAACCTTGAATTCCTTTCCAAGCCGGTACATTTTGAGGAACCGGGCGACGACCTAGACGCACAACTTACCGACGATGCTGCCCGCGAGCTGCTCTCCCATATCACGCGCATCACGAAGTGGAAGACAAAGTTCCTGCCCGCCGAAGCGTGCGACATCATCCAGGCAAATGTCCCCGACGGGAAGAACTGGCCGAGCCAGTGGTTCCGGCCAAAGGGTGATCAAAACAAGGCCGAGGACGGGGAAAAGAAATTGGCGGCACAGATACAATTCGCAGCGCTTTCCGAGATCGTGTTCGAGACCAAGGCATCGATCAAACGGATCCGCCACGAGCTCGCCTGGAAGCTGTACTTTGCATGCGACAGGGGCCACGAGATCGAAATCATCGGCCCAATTACCATTGGAAGCACCGACACGCTCGACTCAGCGTACTCCCTCTTCGCCGTGCTGGTCGAGATCTGCAAATGGGTGGAGGGGCCTTACCGCACCTGGTGGGAGACTATACTTGGGGTGGCGAAGGACAGCTCAGGGGGGCCGGGTGGAGATTCAGGAGCTTGATAGCCAACCACACAACAGGCGGAGGGCTGTCAGGCGAGTGTTCCGTTTAAAGTGCGAGGCAAAGAGGCAGGGCTGCAGTAGGCCACGGATTGATTGACTATCTAGAAGTGGTAGGAAAAGTTCTAGATCAGTGCGTGGCACCGGGGCCTGCAGACGTGCGCTTCAGTCAGCTCGTAGTCGTTTGGCAGGTTTGTGAACTGCTTCTTGGCCATCTGGACCCGGCACGGGCTCGAGATGTAGTACACCTGGTTCTCCTGCAGCAGCTCGTAGAACTTGTCGCACTCGTTGTTGAACCCGGTCGCCTTGATCTCGCCCGTCTCGTCCAGCAGGTTGACGCTGAACAGCTTGCCCTTTTCGCTCGGCTTGTGCCACGTCCTGATGTCCGACTTGCTCGTAACGCGGGCCTTGATCGCCCACTTGTGCTGGTAGGGGGAGATCGACTCTATGGGATAGACGACAGCGTTTGGGTTGCTAGCCGGGCCGCTGCGGCCGCCACCACCACCACCTCCTCCTCCTCCGCTGCCAGCCTCGCCGCCCATTCCTCGTGACGGGATCTGGTTGCGTATTTGGGGCTTGACCTCGGGCTCCATCTCGGGCTCAGGCTTGGCGCCGTAGAAGCCCGTGCCTCCGATGGTGGTGCTGGTGGCCGGCTCTCCCCTGGCCTCGACGCTCGCGGGCTCGCCGAGCTTCTCGAGAACACCCAGAGATTCGATGACCTCGAGATCCAGCAGCACAAGGATGTTTTTGCCCTTGAGCTAGCTGGCTGTGCAAGACCGCACACGCACGATGCTGCCCTTGGCCAGGAGGTTGTCATGGATTATGTGGTTCGCCTGGGTAGACAGCATGCACTGGATGTAGTTAGGAGAAATACGGGTAACATTGGGCCTATAGGACGGCCCCCCC